TTGGCGATGAGAAGCATAATTCATTTGCCTGACTGCAACTGCTAACGTGCATTGGGAAACTGAATGCAAACAGAAACATAGATCTGAAAACCTGATCTTTGGGGTCTTTTTTCTTCAGATAAACTGAATTTAAAGTAAGACAAGTAAAATTAATCTAAAAGAGGCAACTTTTACAAGATTGTCTCCTTGATACTTGGTCAGAAAAGGGAGCTATGACTTTTTCTTAACAGAACCACATAATATTGGTAAGTTTTCTTTGCCTTAGTGTGAACATTAGTGTGCCTTTCTGCCTTCCACTTTAGCAGCAGCATCATGTAGGTTTCTTGTTAATGCTGCAGAGGTGTGAATGTGGGTAAGTGATCTACCTATTTAGTGTCATTCTGAAACTGCTGACTCCACCAGTTCACAGGCTCCTTTAAACATTTCTCTGCTTCAGACTTTCTGAATGTTTGGTATTCTACACTGCATGAATGATTTCTCGCAGCCTCTTAACGCAGGTTAATGGCTTGCTAAGGAATAACTCCCAAGAGGTTAAGAGCCCTGCACCTTGATCTCAGTGCTAGTGATTATCTGTGCTAATTTTCTGCTTTCTATACCAGCACTGACCAAAGCTTCTGTTTGTCCCTTGGCTGTAGAAGTGTGAACAATTAGGGCTGTAGACAGAGCTATACTAATCACATTCACAGTGTAATGTCTGTCTTTAGTGTATTATTACAAGTGAAACATCATCATTCCACTTCTCATTCTTTTTTTTTAATTGTAAAAAAAAAAAAAAAAAAAAAAAAAAGAAATTGAGATTGTTTTGAAAAGTAGAAGAAATTTTTTCTTCTAGGTCTTCCATTTTGGTTTCCTGTCATTATCTCTGCATCACAGCCTTTACAATACATGTGCAGAACTACTGCTTCACTACCAAGAGCACTAGGAATTGCTCTTATAAAACCCCACACCTTTAAGGGTCTCACATGATGTCTTGCATCCATGGGCTGTTAACCCAGCTGCTGAAGCAAAGGACAGTTATCCCCAGGAGTTCAGTGCCGTAGCTGTGCTGCTGCAGCATTGCCTGTGCTGCTGCAACTGCAAAATAAGTTTCAGAGAGGCAGAAACAGACCTAGATCGTGGGGACAAAAAAGGAACCAGGATGAGGTTTCTCAGCACTTTAGACCCATGTTCCTCTAGGGTCAACAACAGATAAGGTTCTATAGTGCTATTCTCCTTCTGTCATTTTAATAGATAGCATGGAAGAGTAAATGTCTTATCTCCATGATGAAATCTCAAATTCAGCCATCTTTCTTAAAGGATACCAAGTGATGAGGAAGTGAGCCTCTTGCTCTGTTGAGAGCTCACAGTAGCCCATCCATCTCTGCTTTCCGTACAACAGCAAATTAGATGATACCACATCTTTGCCAAGGGTCTCAGATAGAAGTCATTTTGTGCGCGGAACTGGCTATTTTCTGCCCTTATGAACAGCACTTCTGAACAGAAATGTCCTTTGCCAATGCAGAGAGATCTTGAATAGCCTGTGGGGAAAGAAGAGATTCCCTCCCCACCTCCTGCTACAGTCCCCAGCACCCATGCTGTGGAATATGGGATTCAATTAGAAGGGATGCCCTTGAGTTGTGAAGATTTCACTTAAAATGCTCAAATTAGAAGCAGAAGCAAATCAACTCCTGTAAGCTTGACAATTGTCAAGCAGGTCACACTTTTAAAAGCCATAATATGTTTACATTTCATATCCCAGCCATAAGGTCAGTAATTCTTTGGCAGATAGATGGACAGGATGAATGAATTGGATATTGTTTGCTGCAGCTGAATCCTTGGGTATGCTCATTTCAGAGTCTGACTGTTGTGAAACATTCAGAAAACCAGCATTTACTTCTTATCTCAGTAGCAATGGATGTTACAGAACTAAACCATATGAAAATACAAAGCACCTTAACTTTCAAGTTAGAGGCAACATCTGTACCAAGTAATTTAGATAGCTTCTGTTATAAAACACTTGATGAAAACTGCTGAAGTTTATCTGATAGAAATATAAAAACATAACACGAAGGTGATGCTCCTCTTCTATATTTTTGCAGACTTTCAAACTTTTATCGGATAATGAATTTCAATGTTTCTGGACTGCCATAATAACATTATCAGATGCTTGCAAAGCAATGCAATATTTTAAAAGGTAATTGAAATAAACAACTCAGAAGTTTACAAAAATTCAAGAATCATGTTGCCATGAGATAATCAGGCTACAATACATGCTGCTTTTTTCTGGTACCAAAGATAACATTGGACCACGTGGAGAATAGGGGGTTGAAATTGTCACTGGTAAAGCTGAAGGGACACAAAATGGTTCATTTTCAAGGCAGAAGTTACCCAAACTGTGAACAGAACAAAACAGAACTTCTTAGTGGCTGACTGATGTGCAAAACTACTTCTCTCAAAAGAGATTATCCTGGATTTTTCACTAAATTAAAAAAATGAAATATGTTAAATCACATTTTTCAGTATGAGAATACTGTATTTGAGGAATACTGTGTGAGAGGCTCTCCGGATTTGTACAGTAGCGGACTGTGAGTAGAAGGTAAGGAGGGAGAGAAATGTTCAGTTATCACACCAGAAGCCCTTTTTTCACTTTCCCACAGTGCCATCCAAAGCCTTCTCTGCCTACTACTCTCATGAAGAACTTGTGAACTTTTTCCAACTGGTTAACCCTCTATGGACGTGGCATGCTCAGACCTCTGCCTGAGATCTCCCTCCCTCCTGTGCCCTTCCAGCACCACCATTCCCAGGGGAGATTTTGAGCCTTCTCTGTCATATTTCGAATATGAAGAATTACATCCTTCAAAAGATCACTAATGGCCCAGTCTTACTCTGTCCTGGGGGGCTTGCCTCAAATAACAGTCTTGCTTCTCAGAGTACATGCTAGGTCCCAGAGCTAAGCTGTTGTTCATCCTTACACCAGCTGGTTTAAAGTGAATTATTGTTCATTGGCTGCATGGTCTTTAACCTTGAAAAACTGAATTTATTTCATCTTTGTGTAAATTAAATTAATGTCACTTCAGGTGAAAGGTTTCATGTGACAGGCCTTTTTAAATTGAATTTTTTTCTTCAAACTGTCTGTCCTACTTAAAAACACAAACTGAACATTAAGTGCAGGATTATTGCAGCTATTAATCATGCAACTAAATAAAGCCATTAGCAAACTGTGGATAACTGTAAATAAAATAATAGCTTTACTATCTCTCAGTTTCATGTAGACTGGCTATTTAGTCAAAGACAAAATAAGAGCTGTTGTGTTGTATAGGGAGAAATTTACTGGAGTTGCATGAAGATAAAATACAGAAATATGATTATTATGTAAGGTCTAAATAGTACTATTTAATGTTTTTCTTCCTTAACCAGATGCTTGGGTTTTTTTCTTGATTCTAGTCTCCCAGGTCTGTTTTATTTAACGAGTGTTTCATATAAAATGCATATATAGGGCTTTTGTTTCTCAAATAATTTAACAGTAGGACTACAGCTGGATTTTTCACATGGTGAGTCCCATGATTTTTCAATACTAGTCTAGCATTACATGGGCAGATGGCATGACTTCTCTGATCTCTAGGGGCTTGGGCACTTTTATCCAAGGCAAAGGTGGGAATTACCCCCTAACCTTCAGCTCCTTTGGTGGGTGTTTCTGCAAGTTGCAGATATGGCACATTGCAAGCCCTCAATATTAAAACTGCAGGGTGAAATGGTAAATGAGGTAATTTAAGTCTGCCAACTCTATTTTTTTTCCTTTTTAAGCAGTGAGTCTCTGAGACTTAGCAAAGGTAAGAAAATGGGGAAAAAGATTTTGTGGCATGAGAGAAAACAAACCCAAGGTATTCAAGAATTCTTGACCTGCACTACAGACTGTGCACTGAATTCTTGTTAGAGAGCAGAAATAGTCCAGAATACCATTCTATTTAAAGACAAACTTCATTAATATGCAGCTTTTCACCTTTATTTTCACTGAATTGATTTTCTCTTCCTTTGTTCTTCCTCTCTCCTTTCTATCTTTCGGCTTTCTTATTTGCTTATTTATTTATTTATTTATTGCAATGCTTTCTTTTTCATGTCTTATTTCCTTAATAATTGTCGTAGTAAGGTAAGTAAGAAACAGTTTCTGCTCCTATTCAGGCAAAGCAATTTTTGAGTGCAGAACATTTATTATTTGTGGTTCTCTTTTTGGATTTTTGAGATGCACTTCAGTGCTATTTCTTCACCATAAAGGATGAAAGTGGCTAATAGAATGCAAACAGAGAATGCAAAGAACGATGAAGGATTTATTTCACAACTGACAACACATAAAATAGTGTTCTTCCAGTCATTTGCAATCTCCTACCTATATTTATTTCTGTATGTATGTATGTTCTCTTTTGAATCCGAGAGGGCAGTTATCTCTAACGCTATTACCTACGCCTTTCATTTTTTTAATTATTTTTCCTTTTCTGTTTTGGCAAAAGATTTGGTGAATTCAAAAATCAACGATCCAACCATTCCAACATTTTTCATTAATCTAATTCATTGTCTAATTTCAGTTCTCCACTACTCACTCACCAATCTTTCTTGCACTTAACCATCTTCCTAGGCCACTAATTATGTCAGCCCAGCGAAGAAGAGAGTGTCACATTCATTAGAGTGCTCACTTCATTTGATCACTCGGGGTATTACACCATAATGAATCTCTAATTACAGAGGAGCGTGGTGTGTGAGCTGTTTTATCTGTGTACTGTCAACTAATTTCAATGTTCTATTTGCCCTAGTCTTCACATTTCCAAATTTACTGTAGAGTAACAACTGATGGTAGCTTTAGCAAATATAATGTATAAAGATGGTTAAGGGATGAAATTGAAGCAACTCTAAAAACTGGCTGGAAACATGAAAGTAAGCTAATATTAACAGAAATGTTTTGATCAATGTGTATTTTTTTCCTTAAGTCTGTACATTCTTGTTTCTGTTTTGTTTTTTTTTCCCCACAGTGGTTATGTCTTTGATTATGATTACTACAGGGATGATTTCTACAATCGGTACGTGTGGTTATTGTTTTTGTATGTTTGACACAATTTCTACTCCATAATGTAATCACATTGTTTGGTTATGCAGGTATGTTTTGATTCTACATATTATTTGTTTCATCATTTCTACTGTGTATTTGAAGTAGATTATTTGAATATATCACAAACAGTTTACCACCCAATACTTGCTCACTGAACAGCTCTTTTGGTTTTACCCTTCTCTGTGAACTACCAGGACATTTTCTTTGCTGAAAAATTTAATGGTAGCTTAATTGCTCAGTATTTCTTTCTACAGAGTTATTCTAGGCTTACTTTCACTGGAACATACAATAGCTGCAAAATTCTTCATTATTGATATTTGTGTCTTTTTCTTTAAACCAAGAATATGAAAAGATATAGACTGTCTCCTGAAATAGCTGTTCTTGTCTTCCAAGAATACTTAGAATTCTAGAAAGACCTTAAGTGAAGCCAGACAAGTTGAACGTGTGTATTTCCATAGCAGCAAAAAGTGTGAGGATACACAATTACAATTACCTGAGACGAGTACCTTCATACAGCCTAGCTCAGCGCTGTGGAAATTTTAAGGTCTTCATTTGTGAGTGGTTAAGTTAACACAAAAGGAGCGCCATCCAGAGTAAGGTAAGCCTGGACAGGCTCAAAAAGTAGGCGCACAAGAATCTAATGACGTTAAACAGGGCCAAGATCAAGGTGTTTCACTTTGGTTAAGGCAATCCCAATGAGTACAGACTGTGAGAACTCATTGTGAGTCCTCAGAGATGGATTTGGGGATCCTGGTGGACAAAAAAAGCTGAACATGATCCAGCAGTGTGCACTTGCAGCCCGGAAGGGCCAAAAATATCCTGGTTTGCATCAAAAGAGAGATGGCCAGAAGGGAGGGGGAGGTGAAGGGGATTGTCCCCCTCTACTCTGCCCTCTTGAAGTCTCATCTGTGGTACTGTGTTAAATTTTGGGGACACCAGTACAAGAGGGAGGTGGAGCTGTTGGAACAGCTCCAGAGGTGGCCCACAAAGATGATCAAAGGGCTGGAGCACCTCTCCAACGAAAATACATTGGAGTTGTGCTTGTTCAGCTTAGAGAAGAGATGCTTCAGGGAGATCTCACTGTGGCCTTTTAGTACTTGAGGGGAGCTTACAATCAGGAAGGGAACTTTTTACTTTTTACACAGACTGATAGGGATGATAGGATAAATGTGAGTGGCTTTAAACTAAAAGAGAGCAAATTTAGGTCAGATGTGAGGAATACATTTTTTCTCAGAGTGCGATGAGGCACTGGAACAGGTTATCCAGAGAGGTTGTGGTTGCCATGTCCCTGAGGGAGTTCAAAGCCAGGTTGTATGGGTCCCTGGGCAGCCTGATCTGATGGATGGCAAACCTGCTTATGGCAGAGGGATTGGAACTGTGTGATCTTCAAGGTCCCTTCTAATCCAAGCCATTCTATTACTCTGTGATTCTATGACAATGAATATAGAAGAATCACCAAAAGACAGGGTTAATATGGAAGTCCACGGATAACCAACTCCTGATCCAGCTATAAACTATTTCTTCATTATATGAGAGCTGCTCTGGAATTAGTTTTGTTATGCTGGCCTACAACATCAAAGGCAGATGTTTCAACTACTACTGCCATATCGCCAACTTCTCGCCAATATTCCATTACATGTTGTTGCCATGTGACAGATGGCAGCAGAGGAGCAGTCTGATAAAATGCATCTGGCATGGAAGCAAAGATGTGGAGTTGAATTCTCCCATGCAGAAAAAATGGTGGCTGTTACATGAAAGACAAGCCATGTTCCAGACATCCATGCAGATTTTACGAGCATAGCATGCAGACTCTTGTTTATTGGTGGCAAAAATACATGACTAATGGTGGTGACTATGCTAATAATTAGTGTTTTTTGGCTGAGAATATGTGCTATCAAGTGATGTTATTTTCCTCTTTGCATCAATTGCATATTACTTGGAAATAAATATAAAACGCAGGCATCATTTTCAGAGCGACCCATATACTAGCCTAGTGTAGTATAGGCCAAGTGAGTCAGATGAGAATTCTACTTTGCTCCATCAACCTTTATTCTGAGACTTCTTTTACATTGTAACAGCAGACGACAATAGAGTAGTGACTTGCACCCTGAAATTAAGTTTTTCATGTGTATGTACATTTCTGCTCAGAAACACTGTAGGAAGAGTATACAGAAATAATGTCTTTGTTTTGTTTTTGTTTTTTCCCCAAGGATTTATTCAATTCAAGTTGCTTTATTTGTTTCTTCGTATACATGACCATGCTTACCTTGGACAATGCTAAAAACAGTGAACTATAAGCATACGGAGCCATCAACTCAGTTCAATCCTGTAGAGTCCACCCTTAATAGTAGAAGTTGCTCCTCTCCTGGAAGAAGTTAACTCACACAGACTTTTTACTTTCCCTGGAGTTGATGCTTTGATTTTTATCACTGGATTTGCCTATGTTTTATACAGTGCTCTTTCTGATTTATACCATCCGAACATGAAAGTTATTAGTCCTTAGGCGTTTTCACTAGTTCTGTATGTTGCAGATCACTCTAATGAACTAATTACACTTCCACAACAGAAGAAATATTTATGGGATATTAAATGCTGCTGTGGTGGTCTAGGTTTGTGATTGTCTTACTATGAAAAACTACTGACAGAAAAAAGTGCTCATAAATGTATTCAATAGTATGGTTTTCTGATTTAGAAATCCTTCATCATTAAGAAAGCATCATTTTAATGGAGTAAATGAGGTAAGGGGCATGGAAGGTGAGAAGTCTTATGTGACAGGCATGAAAAAGAAAAACTAACAGAATTCAGTGCATTGACACAACTATCATATAGATCAACATACTTATAGGAAATGTAAATGAAGAAATTTATTAATGATTTTTTGAATTTCTGAACTTATCTTGCTTTTTAATATTTACTAGTTTTCCAAACTTTTCTGAATTATTCAGAATGAATACACCTGTCTTATCTTGACTAAAGCAATTATGGGATCAGAAAAGTGTGGCAAAACTAGTTTCTTACATGAATTAAAATTGTTATGAAGGCAGTCTGACAAGATCAGTACTGCACAATTTAGAATGAGGGAGGAGAATATGCACTTTATCTGCATATTGGTGATTATAGGAGCAAAGCATTATTTCATAACTGAATCGTGGAATCATTGAATGATTCGAATTGGAAGGGTCCTAAAAGATTATCTAGTTCCAATCCCTCTGCCATAGGCAGAGACACTTTCACAGAATCACGGGGGTTGAAAGGTGCCTCAGAGGACCACTAAGTCCAACCCTTTGCTAAAGCAGATTCCCTACAGCAGGTCACACAGGAAATTGTCCAGATGGGGTTTGAATATTTCCAGAGGAAGACACTGCAACCTCTCTGGGCAACCTGTTCCTCTGTGCTCCATCGTCCTCACTAAAGAAGCTTTTCCTTGTGTTCATATGGAACTTCCTGTGTTGCCCATTGCCCCTTGTTCTGTTGCTGCTTACCACTGAACTGAGTCCTGCCACATCCACTTGACTCCCATGCTTCATATACTTATAAACAGTGATGAGATCCTCTCTCACTCTTCTTTTCTCCTTGCTGAACAGTCCCAAGTCTCTCATATTTTCCTCATAAGTCACATGCTCTAGAACCTTTGTGTCCCTATCTCTGCCAGACCAGGCTGCCCAGGGCCCCATCCAATCCAGTCTTCAATACCTGCAGGGATAAGGTGGGACATCCACAGCTTCTCTGAGCTTCACCTCCCTTATACTAAAGAATTTCTTCCTTGTATCTAATGTAAATCTACCCTTTCTCAGTTAAAAGCCATTACTCCTTGTCCAGTCATGACAATTCCTTCCTCATTTTTCCTCTAGACCCACCCCTCCCAGTACTGAAGATTTCTGTTAATCATTTCTCACGTTACAAACGCAAGATTAGGCAATGTACTTCAAAGCTTTTAAAAGGCAGCACCTTTTTATAGAAAGCGCGTCACTGAAATATGTACAACTTCACACAAATATGAACTGCTAACAACTAGAAAGAAAAATCACCTTTGGACAAATTGTTACATAATGATCTACTGCTTTATAACTTAGAGGTTTTCTGGAATATTTTATTCCAGTAATGTCATGTGAGAGAATGTGACCAACCTGCACATGATCCAATATAATAAAGGATGTGAGTGACAACCAACTGTAATATTTCTGTAAAATTTTAAAAGCGTGTATTTTGTGTTCTTAATTATACAGAATTTTTAGTTATGCTTACAGTAGTTAAAAACTGCTTATTCAAACAGCACATTCAAAGTGATGGAATTCAAATTTAATGTGAGTGATGGGATCTTTATGGTATATGTTGTAAACAGCTAAGGAAAAGGAGAGGCACAGACAACTGGAAGGATTGCAGGATTTAAATGTTACGTGTTTACTTGCCAGAAAATGGGCTAGAAGACTTAAGTTTGGTTCTGCTTCCTGATCAGTGTGCTGCTAGACAGCGTGGCCGTTAATTACTGTTTCTTGTATCTCTCTTTTCAAATATATATCTATCCACCCAGCTAGGAAACAGTGTTTAGAATTGTGAAAATTAAACATGCAGTTACAAATTTACATAATTAGTAGTTGCAATAGCATGTGAGCAGAACACACAATATTTCCTGATAATGTTGCTTGTCCCTCTATTTTGGTCTTAGAACTCAAAGTCTTAATTTTCTTAACTTTTTTCTCCTAATCTGTTTTGTTCAGAGCCAAAGGACTTTACATTTTAAGTATATCTAACTTTTGATTACTTTTCCTATCGTCTTTATTTTCTTCTATGCAGGTTAATCAGTTGCTGTTGATAACTGTGCTTTCTAAGATTGGGACATTCTGTTTGGGAACACTACTTGTTTTTGTTTATAGAATATCTTCTAGTGACTGCAGTAGCAATTCTCTGAATATATACAGTGGTTTGGTTTGAAGAAGGCTAACATCCTATTTTATTAATCATGCTTTAGTATTTCAGTGATTGTACATCAACTTGTTAGTAAACAGAGGACATGATGGACCCTCTTTTCTGTCAATTCTATAGGATATACAGTTCCCTCAATAGAAACTACTGGATATTTTACAATGTGCAGGATATTTCTTTATGATGATGTCTGGTTTAAAAAAAGTTCATTTATTTTTCTATCTATAAGAATAGCAGATAGCTAGAAAAGTAGAATTCAAGTCATGCATACAGTAAAAGAATCTAACTGTCACTACAATAAAAAGTACTGCTGTTACTTGTGTACAGTGAAATGATTTGAATCCATGGAAAGCAGGTTATAGATTTTCCATGCTGCAAATAACAGAGTATTATAAAGAATCCTCCCTCTTTTCAATGATGCAAAATCTGAGCTATGCACTGGACTGTGACTAAATGCTGAATAGGGCACTTAATGTGCATAGGTCCTTGAAATCTAATTTGACTATGATATAAAGTGATTAGATTTCAAAGGTTAATTTTCTCAAAGATAACTTGAAAATTTAATTGACAGGGCTTCCATGACTTGAAATCACAGAAGGTTTTATGGAGTCCAGCTGACTTCATTTTTTCTAGGTTGTTTGATTACCATGGACGTGTCCCCCCACCACCTCGTGCTGTGATACCACTGAAGCGTCCTCGTGTGGCTGTGACTACAACTCGTAGAGGCAAAGGGGTTTTCTCCATGAAAGGAACATCACGATCCACCTCAAGTGGGACTTCTTCCTCAGGATCCAAATGTGAGTTCCTTATACGTATTTTGGATTTTGAAACAATGGTTGTGTTAATTTCTGCAAATAGGTAGCTTCTGCTATATAGCTCTTTTGCAGTTATTTCTTACCCCCAATATTTTGCTTGATTTTTTTTTTAATTAGTGAAGGTGCCACACCTTTGGCGTAGTCAAAGAGAACAATGGTGTAACTTGGAAAGAAAACCATTTGAAAATATTAGATCTTTAGCCTCAGTCCCTTGGTCTCAAAAGTTCCCCTCCAATCATCCTGACTGTTTATGCACGAGATCTTGTGAACAGCTGATCATAGAGCTAAGTTAATAATCTTTTTATAGAAGGACTGAGAAACACTGCTTTTTGTTGAATCTTGAGGGTTGTTTCCATTCGTGCATGAGGTACAGATGGTGGTCTGGGGCAGGGAAGGGAGGGAGATTGGGTTGGGGTTGATTTTTTACTCATGATTCCTTTGAAGACAGAAAGAGGCAAAATGTCTTTTCCTACTTGTAAAGGGAGTACAAAACGGGATTGATAACTTGGGGCTATTCAACCCCTTCTTACCGAGTTGGCCTTAGAAGAGCTGACAAACATCAGATGTTCCCTCCTACATTCTCACCAACCTCCCCACCCTGTAGTATCTGCCAGGAACTTCATCCTCCTCTCCATGCATCTTTCAGCACCCACCTGTCTTCCCCTGCCCCTTATGTGGAGTGATACTGCCCTTGGAAGCGTCACTGGAAGAGGAAGAGAAAGATCAGGTAGGGATCAGATATTAGAAAGAATGAAGGGACTGCAATAACATGCTTTGCAGTACCAGGCCAACCAACAGAGCATCCTACTGAATTACACATATAGTGAATCCACAACAGTACATCTTACTGGAAAAGAGGCTAATTATGGCATCAGGATGAGAAAAATACATACTCTACCTGAATAACCTATCCAAAGCTCACACACTAGCACCTAACAAAGACGATGGAACCTTGGCGTGTTCACTGGGAACCATTCTTGGTCCATCCTGAACTGATGGCATTCAAGACCTTGAAAGAGAATGTGTAATAAATACGCAAGTGACTGAAAGAATGAAAGTGTGACGAGCAAAGCAAAAGATAGTGTGGTATGCTGAGTAACGAGGAGCTCAGGACATTTTTTGATAGGGATGACCTCTGAAGATCTGTTGTCTTGACAGTCAAATCACACACAAGTCTCTAGTGAATGAATTGGTGAGATGTCTGTTACCAACAGTGGGAACTCTGATACCTAGGACACAGGAAAACATTAATTTATATGTTGTATTATGAAGTTCACTCGAACCATGAGTCGATGTGGGAGTAGTAACACTTCCTTTGTTATCTGTTATCTATATGATCATTTTCATATGTCTTGAACAAATCCACTTAGGCATATTCACTCTTATTCATTCTTCAGTTCCTGAAATATGATTTCTAAAATCAGTCTAAAAGAAAGCCTATAACTTAATGCTGTCATGTTAGTAGATAAGGAATTTATGTAATTTTGCTAGTCTTCTCCACCCTGGGGTCTTTGGGTTTTCTTTGGGATTTTCCATAAAGAATCAAAAATGTAGTAAGTATATGCAGTCACAGATTCATTCCTTAGATCTCCATTTGTCCTTTTACTTATGTCTTATCCATATGAAAACTTACTAGTATCAGTGCATTTAATTCCCTTGTCCTAAAGGATGGTCTGATAAAAATGGGCTTTTTTAATTCTCTTTGCCTTCAAGAAGATGAGATGTTTTCAGATAAATTTTTATATATATTTATTCATTGTCTCCCAAGAGATGTCAAGGAAATATCACACAGAAATTTTGATTTTTACTGTAATTAATGGAACTGAGCATATTACACTAACACCCAGATATTTGCTCCTGAGAATAATCACCAAATTTGCTTTATTACTCATTCTGCATTTCAGAAAATATTTTATAGCCCTGTAGCAAGGATTAAGTACTGTTAATTGCAGATTATAGGACTGAACCTTTGTTCATGTATGAGTACCCAAAACCCTTTGCTTTGAGACCTCCAAAACACTGTGCAACATGGCAAATGCTGCAGAACCTGTAAATTATTCTTTGGATTTGCAATTGGGAATTTGTACATCTTAACAGGACGTTGTGCCTCAGTGAAAGTATTCTTCAGTGTATTCAGGTGCTATGTTAATTCTGTGAAATGGCAGTATTAGAGCTCCAGGTGACAAGGTTATCTTTGGATCCAGCTGTTAATACTGAGGAGAATGATACAAGATGAATCACTAAAAGCATGGGCTCTCATTTTGATCCTTACTGGGTTTCCACACTCAGTATTTTACTATGGTAATTGAAACACAGAAAACATTTATAGTGCTTTAAAAATTGCAGAAAATGCTCCGTTTTACATGCAGCACATCTGAAAATAAATTGGTTGGTTTTTTTTTTTTATTTTTTTTAAGAGAACTAAGGCACACCATGTACAGTTTCATGCTTGATTTCCCTATAGAATTATTTCCCTCTTTCTCAAGTCCAGCCAACTAATCTTAAAGGTAGAAACATGATTTTGTTTACTTGGTCAGGAACATAATCAGCTTATTGTAAGATGTTTATCAGAGAAATAACCATGCTGTTCCCTGAAGGACTTCAAGCTGAAAAGCAGAAAATGTGTGTTCTGCTGCTACTTTTGCCATTTTATTGGAAAAGTTTTTTATATTGAATTGTGGGATTAAGCTGTCTAATATTTTGTTGCCTTTTACTCCATCGTGCTAATCTGAAATCCTTGAACTAATGCAATGTTGATTCTAATTGTAATTTATTGCTAGTAAAGGATCTTTTAAATAGAGAAATTTAATTTTGGGTAAGGATGCTATTTTTGGCTTTGATAGCATTCAAGGCCATACACAAGCTTAATGTCAGGTTTCTGTATCAAAATGTTATTGCATATGCTTAAAAGATTTCATCTTCGAATAGCTCTCATGTCATGAGAGCATTTACTCTACTAGACTTTTTAGATTTGAGTAGCAATCTCATAGACATAACTGTTCTCATAATTCTTCTCCACATTCAAACTGGATTCAGAAAATGAACCCATATATTTAGGAATAAAGGTCAGAACACGATGAACCCCCATCTGAAATGTTGCTGCAATTCAACTTTAGCACTTTAATTTCTAAAAATACAACTGACCTCAATTTATATATCTCTTTTTAAGCTGGGTGTGACACCTCCTTTGGGCTACATGTTTAAACGCAAGATGTGTTCTAGAAGGCTCTTTTATTCACTACAGAGAAATGGAAGGGGATACCAAATCTACTTCTGTATTGTTTTAAGTAGCCACACCATTTAATCCTTTTCAAATAGATTAATCTCTGCCTTAGACATATTTAGAGTTTTTCTATTTGTTTCACCAACTTCCAGCTCAAATTTGTTTCATTTGTTCATATCCAATTGTTTTGTCAACACTGTCTTAGCTTAAAAGTTTTACTTCCTTTCACCTTCCTGTTGTCTTGGGCAGAAATATAAAAGGTAATATTGCAGTTTTCCATTCTTACAGTCATCTTCATGGATCTTCTCTCTATATACTTGCTAGAATTCAGTGAATCAGTGTGCGTCATTCCAGATAAGCTCTCACCAGATCTTTATGTAATGGCATTGATATTTGCCTATATTCAGAAATACGTCAATTTACACATTATAGTGTAACATTTTCTTTTTCATGGTTGCATTACACTGATATCCTATTGTCAACTAAACAACTATACCCAAGGATAATTGTATCTCTCTTTTTCAGCAGGTGAGTTTCCAGGTTAAGAGTAGGATTTCTGCTGTTAGTCAATCAAGTGAGGGTGGAGGGTGCTTCAGTGCAATTGAATTTCATCTTTTTCTTCTGGAACATTCCTTAAAATTATTTGACTCCTTCTATTCTAGTTCACTCTGAAAGGTATCTTCTAACTTCATATCATCCTCAAATTTCACTCGTTTCCTTAATTTTTGCATCTCAAAGTTGTTGAACTTATTTAGCTAGCCAGTGCTTGAGGAATTGCATTAGCAATTTCTTTTCCTTTCTATACATGCTGGCTGCTGGCTATCTGCTTATTAAAATTAAAAACAATAAAAACAACAAACAATAAACAGTAAGCTACTTTATTTTTCTATTCTATTACTAAAAAGCAGATAAATATTTTAAATACATACAGCTCTGGTCTAATGTCTATGAACTTCTTGACAGAGATCAATTTGAAAACAAATAAACTAACAATTAAATGAATTAATTTTAATGGATTATTTACGTACTCAAAGCAAGACACTTGAAGTACAGTATTTACAGTCTTTATGTAACTTAACATGTGCTTCAAGTCCCTAAAATTATTCCCAAGCTCTATACCACAGAATTACAGAAATACAGAATCAGATAATTTCAGAATGGCTGAGGCTGGCAGGGCCGTCTGGGTCCCTCTGATCCACTCCCTGCTCCAGCATATTTCCTTGTCAGCAGACAACACTGAGAACAGTCTGGCTCCTCTTCTTCATTCCTAAAAATGAAGTAGCTGAAAGCTGAATTGCTCTAGGAGAATGATTTTGAAGATTTGCACAACTCCCTGAAAATTAAGACAATAAGAGGCTTGAGAAACTTCGTCATTGCAAGGCTAGAATCAGGATGGACATTTGAAACTTATATAGATTCACTGACCAAATTTTATGCAAATAGGGGTGGAAATAAGGCTTCTCAGCATTTAACATCTTTGTTTATTGTCGAATCCTCACTGCTGGTCTGCTTACCTTCTAGTACAGTGCTTCCAAAACTGATTTCTCTCTAGGACACCCCAGAGACGTCCCTGTAAGGCAGAGAGTTTGGCCTGAGTTCACAGTAGCCCCAACCTATGTGCCCATTTCTTTGCCAAGCTCAGAACTGCAAATGTTTCCTTTTTCTTTAATACTCAGAACAAATATTAGGTCCTTTTTGTGTCTCTTCTGACTTTTGACCTTTTAGCCTTGGCAATCACCTAACTCAACAGCTTGGCCAGATGGGATCTTTTGCCAGCTGGCTTCATTAGCAGGCTGCTGCAGGTATTTAGCATTTCCTACTATGCAGTTTCATGCCATTTCACCTCAGATTCTGAATCACTTTGCTACTCCGGCACAGACAAACCTCATCCCCGAGGGAGGAAGTAACCTTCGAAATATACAGTTGTCAGAATCTGAATGTTTTCTTACAGATCTCGGCGTTGGATTGTGACCCGTTATTTCTCTGAGAATACTCTATAACTATGCTCTATAAATATTCTAAAAAATTCCTCCATCAAATGCTGTAGAGCATACAAGGATCCAAGACAAAGGTTACTTTTAAGCTTAGTTCTGAAAGCCTACCACTCACTGAGTATGAGGTCTGAGGTTTCAGCTTTCCTTATTTCATTTGTGTATGATAATAACACGATAAAGGAAGTTCATTACTGTATAGAGCAACCTACTTCCCTTAGCTGAATTGCGACAATAATGCACGTGGCCCAAAACATAACGCTAAAAACCTTGATACCACAGTGAACATGCTCCAAATTTGCAGTAAGTTGTTTTAGAGGCTGGTATTTATTACAACTGAAGTAGGTAGTAGCCTACTTGCACATTTCATTGGCATATTTTACCTATCCAATTAAAAATATCCATGTGACATCATATTGAAATACATGCCCAAAAGTCAATGGACAGGACTGATCACACAAAATTCAGCCAGGAGACTCTTTATGCAAAAACAGAATGAGTCCTTTTCTGTGGCAGAAAATCCCTTTTTCCAGGCATAAAGGCTCTCCAGTTGCTCCAGATACACACCCAAAGGCAATGGACTTCTTTTAGCAAAGATAAAGAGTAATAAAAAAGGTAATACTTTTGACTGTTCTTCTATTGCCAGTCCATCGCAGTTCAAGATGGTGATCTACCTCTTCCTACGAGAGCTCTAAGAGCAACAGTTGTGTTTACTCTTGACCATTATAGTGGTTTTGTTTTTTTTGTCACATGCTAACACAGGGTTCCCATCTTCCCCACCTTTTTTTTTTCAACATGATATCCTAGCGTGGATGAGTCAAGTGATCTATTAGTACTATTTTCTGAGCTTAAAAAAGTCTTGATAATGCCATAATAAAGAGATCATTCTTGAGTACTGTAACGCTATTTCTTCTGAAGACAAGACACCTCCAAAACTCTTCTCTTTAAGTTAGACCACAGGAGTGCAGTAATGCAGAAAAATGGGGAGTAATGCATTGCAACATAGATTTGGAAACTTCACCTATTAATTTATCTGAGTTGCCTTTATGTCCCTAGCTGTGATCATAAAAAGAAATATTTTCATATGTTATCTACAGGTGGATAAAGTAGAAGAAATTACCCAGAAATTATTGTTTTTAAAGCAGTGATACCTAACACCTTACACTGAAATTAAATTGTTGACTGGAACAAAACTTTACATTTCTGGCTGACCTAACATTTATGTTGTCATTCAATCTTCTTGAAAAATATATGTGAGGGTTCTTTTTTATTGTTGCTATTCTTATTGTTATTTTTACAAAATAGTTCAACAAAATAACATCACAAGACTGTGAATTGTTTGTCATATTTCAGTCATTCTTTCACTGCAGGCTTCTTCTCAGTGAAAGTTACTTGCATTTGACTGAAATGCTCTGTACAAAGCAACACATCTCACAAAACCTCTTGTCACTGGGGATTAGTATCCTGGGATTTCCTCAGATTCAGCATTTTTAATTAACAAAGATAGTTTTAAAATCAAATCTCTAAAAAAGTGAGAGGAATGAGGAAGTAGACTTTGTTCTAAGAGAAAAGAAAAAAAGAACACATTTTGTTTGTGGGAGCTGCAAGTACAGTCTATTTTATGTTTTGCATCTTTGCTTTTTCCACAGTGAAATCAGATGAGTTGCAAACAATCAAGAAGGAATTAACCCAAATCAAAACAAAAATTGACTCCTTGCTAGGGAGACTGGAAAAGATTGAAAAACAGCAAAAAGCTGAAGCAGGTAGGTGAAAACAATCTGTAGTTATGTTATTTAAATCAGAACCTATTTATCAAGCAAGTAGACAGATAAGAGAGATAATTGGATCCTCCCAGAATAATTTCTGCATAGAGGGCCTGAAGCAAGCTAAACTAACTGGGGGAAAGAACTAGTATTGTTCACAGAGCCTCCAACATCATTTGAAGAGTTGCTTTCAAGAAAAGGTTGTTTCATTCTAGAAAAAGAATGCAAAGGTTGCCTGCTGGATATTCTGGATACAAAACATCGCTAAAAAGTTTATTGGATAGAATTATGTTGAAGGTTGTTGATGATGGGGATACTTATGCCACGCACATTATGATATTTTAGATGATTTATTTCAGGAAATATGGTCTGGGCAAGAGACAATAGTCATGAGTTGTAGCAAGGGAAATTCCAGTCTGAGATTAAGAAAAATATTCTCTGTAGCACCTACAGTGCTTCTAAGTACAACAAGATGCACAGAAAGTCTGTAGAATATCCAAAGTCATCTGGCCAAAGCCCCGTGGACCTGTACTGAACTTCAAAGTTGGTCCTTCCTTGAACAAATGTTGAACTTGGAGAGTCTGAAGATGCCTTCCAGCCCAATGAAGTTGTAGCATCTGTGTAGAAATCACTGCACCTCTAGATCATCTTGTATTCTGTCTTGAAATGTTTTAGTTGTTTTTAAGCAAAGACTGAAAATGACAAAATCCAACACTGCTTTCTAATGTACTGGATATCTTTATTCTTGTCATTACAGTGATCGTTTTGCTTGATGAATAATCTCACCTAGAAGCACTTTAAAGCCATGCTTTAAAGCCAAACTAAATAAGGGATTTATAAGGCCATATTTTCACCATAGTATATATGGAAAACTACCTCTCTTCTTACTGCTGTCTATGGTATTTCCTTGGCTACTTCCTTATAAATCTCCTGTTATATCTCTGTACAGAATCTGTGTACTAGAGAGCTGATTTTGTTGAGAGCCAGCAGGGAAAATGGAAGCCTTATCTTGTGAAAACTCTTAATGTTTTGGTTTGGTTTGGTTTTTTTTCCTCTCCATTCTTTGATGAAAACTAGGAATATTTTTTGTGAAATGTGTGGAAGAGAGTCTGCCTTAGAATTCACAGCTGTCTGAGTACCTGGGTGCTCAGATTCATGTTGCTTGCTCAACTCCAATCATTCTGGGGAAGCCAAAAAGCTACAATTAGATACACCAAAAGAGTTCTGTCAAGACTATGAAAAAGAATTAGCAGTTTATGGACCTGACAGAGACAAAATAGATATTTACATCTGGATCCTTCCTGATCCTAAATGCCTGTCCTATTTGCTGATCTATTGTTGGGATATCTATCTGAACCCTGAATTTTTTTGCTCATATTGAAAAAGAAATAATGAATAAGTTATCTAGAGTGGGATACTACAAATAATTATTTTTTGGTTAACAACTTGAGAAAAAAAAAAAAAAAACAATAAAAGCAACTCCTAAAAATTTTACTTCTTATTTACAATCATTTTCTAAATTGATAGGCTAGCAATCTCTCAGTTGTTGCAGTTTACCCCACAAAATGAGTGCTTTACTCTCAAGTATAAGGTAAACCATTAGTATGGATTGTGATTGCCTCTTTTAGAGCTGTGCACAATATGTATTCATTATATTCTATTTTGTAGTTAATGCAAGTTGTATAAAAGTTGGTGTAATCAGTGAAGAGGTAATTGCAAGGCACTCCATTGAATCACTTGTGTACTGAAATGCTCTGAGATGGTGGATTCCTACTTCAGGGAGCTTTTATATAAAATCCATTAATATGCAAAACAACCTGCATGTCATTGTACTTTGATATTCAATTTTCACTTTTGCTAAAGGACTGTAGAGAACTCATTTAAATAGAAATCATCTCAAAGAGGAAAATGTTGATTTGTATTGAATCATAGTGTTATTCCTTTTGAAGACAAGCAATGAAAAATCTCAGAGATTATCTGCATATCATTGAGGGTGAGGGAGGGGGGGAACATGTCAAAGACACCAAAATCCCCATTTAAGTCTCTTGAGTTGACAAACAAAGCTATGTTGCCTGTGGGATGAGTCCACAGATGATTGTTTGCTTGGCTGGAGGCTTTATGCAAGGCAAAACTACAAACTACATCAGTACCTAAACAATTCCACTCACAAGTTCAGATGTGAGATGATTTTGTTCCTTCTGAATAGTTTGGCAATATTTCCCACTTACTGCCAGAAGGAGTGGTCTCACTTAAGCCTGGGATCCGAGAGGATCACATAAAATAAAAAAATCAAGCTCTTATTCTGCACTGTTGTTGCTTTTTTTTTTTCAATGCCTGCATCACTTTCAAGAAACACATTCAATTATTAATCTTAAAAGTTCGACTTCTGGAGGATACGATCGGTTAAACAGGCATGCTGAACAGTCTCACTGTGTACTATAGTCACTACTCTACAGCTACCTCTCTTTACAGTAGAGGCTGATGTTCTGTCTTTTATTATTTGAAAATTTCAATTTATAAATTAAAAATTTCAGTAGGATGGATACAAGAGAACTTAAAATATCACTTATTTGACACAACTGACAAAAGAAGAAAAACCTTATGTTAGCACTTGAAACAAGAAAGTCTGTGCACTTTAAGTTACAGTTTTAGGATAAAACCTCAAAATCTATGGGCAACAAAGATGAAAAGAATCTGAAAAACAATCCTGAGTATAATTATTTGCAAGTTTATGGGGTGGCTGTATTTATGTGGATTAGCAAATAACTGTCAAGAATTGGTAGAGGATGTACTTCTCTAGGAAATCTGTAGGAATAACTCCCTTGTTCATAAAAATCTGAATCAGAAAGCCAGGAATAAGAAGCTGTTCTGGAATGATAAAATTGTTAGAGGGGAACATTCTCCCTGCAGTATCAAGATGAAGATTTTTAAAAGTGAGTGCTGAAATGTAAGATCTTAATTTTAACTCGTCAGCAGAGCCCAAAAGTGTAAGATGCTAAGATGGTATTTTACTATCTTCTGAAGACCCCAGTCTACATAAGTGATCAAATTTTCTAGCAGTTGTCTCCTAAAAGTTATTCCCTTAAAATGTATTTTTAATGTATGTATTAAGTCCATTATTTCAGGAACCCTTTTTGAAATCCTTGACTGAAGTTAATTCATTTGTCAGTAGCCCAGCTAGGTTAATATCAGAAGGTGTCAGGGCAAGACTCAGTAGGCATAGCTGACAACCCATATTTCCTTGTGCAGTAAGGCAAGTAGCAGTGATTTATAACTAGCATGGTATTGTGTATAGCACCTCACAAATAAAAGGTGGGCTCAGTCTTCTACTGATATGTATGAACACAGTACTTTCAAAGCAGTTATCTAAGATGACTTTCTGTTCTTTAACAACAATCCTTCTGCAGAACTTATGTGAATAAGTGAAAAAAAATCTTCATTGTTCTGTATCTTCAATAAATGAATTTGAAAGTGAGGGATTAGAGATGAACAAAGACTGAAGAGATGAAAGTAAGATGTAAAATAATTGTGCAGAGGTAGAAGAAAAATAAATGCATTGATTTAATATTATGATACATAAAAGTTGAGGAGATATGAATGTTATATGTTGTGGGTACAAAATAATATATTAATGGAGCTGAAAATAAAACACTTTGTAAGAAATCTTCAGAATCGTTGGCTGTTCAACAAGATACATGAAACACTAGCTAGAGTTATAGAACAACCAAACCTAATAAAGGAAGAAATAGTGTTGATCTAGAAATGTGGTCATTGATGGGTATTATCACTCTCAGACTAAAAATACATTGGCATTCCATTTACCTGCAATTAGTTCTCTTGCCTGTAAACACTCTGAAAAAAAAAATAAATCTTTTCATTAAACTCCAAATAAAAAAACTCTCATCCTCTAACCATTCTAGCATCCAGTCTGTCCCTGTCATTCCCTTCTCAATCCTTCTCTGGATTTCTGCTGTCTGGATGAAATTCCTCAGCATATCCTGGAGTCTCGAAATACATAATTACAACAATGCAGCTTTCTGTGCTAAGCCAAGCAGAACAGTTCCCATCGGCCTCCCCAGAAATTGTCCTTTTTTTTTCATTACTTTGCAGAAATTATAAGCCCTATATCTATATCATGAGAGGGGATCTTTTCATCCAGCATGGCATGTTATGCCAATGGAGAGAAAATATTACTTACTCCATCAAATATATATCTATATGTCTATATATCTATATATAAAGTTATCTAGAAGGATTTTTTATTGCCTGTATGGTTATTTAAAGATAGTCACAGCAAATTTATGCAAATATTTGATTACTTATGGACAATTAATAGGCATTCATTTCTCCAAGCATAGAGATCTGTGTGCTTCTCACTGGCTGCAAGTAAATAAATATATGGTGATTATGCCAATTTATCCCAAGATAAAGCAAAGTCCAGAAAATCAAAAAGCTGGATTTGTTAGTAAAGCAAACCTTCATCCACTGCATGGGATGAATGAGCATGTTGGTACTATGGCTAGTGCATGCATTAGATTTTGAAAATCAGGGATTTTACCATATTCAACTAGTAGATATTAACTTGGATTTTAACTGATTATAAGAAGATGGGAAAGACAAATTTCTTCCTCAGAACACTTTTCTTTGCCACCAGTAGAGAAGGTTATTGAATTTCTATAGAGTATGTTTTCCTTACAGAAGCTCAAAAGAAACAAATGGAAGATAATGCTGATTTGGTTCAAGAAGAATGCATATCAGAGAATGCAGATAACTCTACAGAAGATCCAATTGAAGGAGGGCCAGATGGAGATGGGGATGGAGAAGAGATGACTGATGGGATAGAGGAGGATTTTGATGAGGATGGCAGCAATGAGCTGGTAAGGAATAACCCTGCCATGTCTGTCTATACAGTTTCTACGCATAACCCTAGAGAACCAAGAATCTGGGTTAACCAAAAAAAGATCACAGCAGTACTGTGATATTCTGCAATAAGTACCTAGTCCCAGATTCTTCATGCAGTAGTGTATGTTAGGCACAGGAACTTCTAAGGATAAACAAAGAATATATATTCTTTATACTTGGTGAGTTTAGAAAGGAAATTAAATATATTTTAGCTTTTTTTCCATTTATTATTTCGCATTCAATGAAATGTAGATGATAAATGAAATTGACTTTTTATATTTATTTATTTATTTGTTAATTTGCATATTTGTTTTAATCAGAGCTTTTCAAAACCAGATAAGATCCTAGACTGGAGAACTTTCTCATTAATGACCATGTGGACTACAGTAGACTTCCATCACTGTCTTCCATGTGTATCTCCTGCAGGCTGCACTGGCAGCTTCAAATTTTTTTTTACAGAAGGATTTTGCTGTAAGAAATGCTTGGCTGAGGAATTTTCATCATGAAACTACTCTTTTCATGAAATGCCTATCATGATGTTAAAACTCTAAGTTCAAAAAAATGTTTTAGACATATTTTGATATTCAGATTTGTATTTTTTTATGTTTTTTTTTTTTAATAAGTATGGATCAATCACATTGTTTTAGACACCAGGATTTCATAACACTGTATTTTCTCTCTCTCTCTCCTATATTTTCATATCTTCTCACTTTGAGAAGAAATCACTTCTGTTGCTCAGTATCACTTTCCCTGATGTCTTTTTGACACACATTTTGTCATGTTTACAGTAAAAAAATCATTCAGTACTGCCAACAGGAGCCGGTTAGAAATGGAACCACTTGAACCAGCACCAAGTCTGGAGAAACAGTGCAACTGAATAAGCAGCATTTTGTACTGCTTAATACAGGCAGTTTATACCTACCTCTAATTTGAGTATATCTGTGTTTCTTTAGCCAGCACAATGCCCTCTTGAATTTATGAATCCTAATATCAATATGCCAAAGAGTGTCCAAGAGAACATGAATCTCCCCGTCTTCTAACATGCAGTGTAGAATAGGTGATATTATTTGTTCTTCTCTAAGGAACAGGTTCTCCTCTAACAGGTATCAGGGATCTCTGTAAGCAGTCACCATTCTGAATTTGTAGGAAGTATAAATGTTGTAATGCATAGATAGTTGTATATATAATATCCCACCATGGCTAATGTCCGTTCAGCTGTAGTGATATTAACAATTGGATGACCAGTTTAGGGACTGCACTTCTTACTGCAGACAACTAAATGGAGAAGATTATGTAATACCTACTAGCTTCCAATCACTCTGTTCTGTCATTTCACCTAGAGCATATAGCATATTTAGCATATATACCCACTATATAATGAAGCATAATGTAGAGGAAATTTTTTTATCTAGCAAAAGCTTAAGCAGAAAAGTTTCTAAAAAGCAATCAGTGTGGGAAGACGTCATTAGTAGTGAAAGTCATAAGTGTGGCATAAACATGCTTGCATACCCCTGCTTCCAAATAAAAATCCTTTCAAAATTTATATTCTGGCATTTTCTGAAATGCAATATGTTGCTGACACAGCTCCGAAGCCATCTCAGAGGACCACCTACCAGGCCTGTCAAGGACTTTTTGGATGGCATCCTTTCCCTCCAGCATGTTGACCACATCATGCAGCTCATTGTTATCAGCAAATTTGCTGGGGATGCACTCAGTTCCACTGCCCATGTTGCTAGCAAAGATACGAAATGGTGCTGGACCCTGTACCAACCTCTGAGGGACCATCACTCCATCACTCATTATTGGTCTCCACTTGGACATTAAGACTTTGACCACAACACTTTGAGCGCAATCATCCAGCCAAATCTTTATCCATCAGATGATCCATCTGTCAAATCCATGTCTGTCCAATTTAGAGACAAAAATACTGTGTGAGACTGTGTCAAACACTTTGCACATGTACAGGCAGATGTAACCCTGTCATAGAATACCATCAAATTTTTCAAGAATGGTTTGTCCTTAGTGAAGCCATATTGGCTGTCAACTATCATCTCTTTGTTTCCTATGTACATTAACATAGTTTCCAGGAGGATCTGCTCCATGACCTTGCCAAGCACAGGGGTGAGATAGGCTGCTCTGTAGCTGCCTGGATCTTCACTTTTTCTCTTTTTAAAACTGGTGTTATTCTTCTCCCTTTCCAGTTAGTGGTAGCATTATTGAACTGCCAAGTCCCATCAAATATGGTGGACACACGCTTAGCAACTTCATTCATCATTTGCCTCAGGATCCTCATGTGCATCTCATCAGGTCCCATGGACCTGTGTACCTTAGGTTTCTTTTGATGGTCTTGAGCCTGATCTTCTTTTACAGTGGGCACCACCTCAGTCAGGTGCAGCCCACCCCAGTTGCCAGGGCAGTGACAGATGAGCAGCCTCTTGCCTTCCACCTTAATAATATGGGACCTCTAGCCAAGAAGACACCAACTTTACACACTTTAAAGCTTAGAACCTACATTGCCATTGATGTCAAGTGTTTATGCCTTCTGCGCTCCCTTGCCATTTTCGGAAGAGGTCACTTGCTCTTAGTTTTTCTACCTGCTGCAATGGGATAATAACTTACCATTCATTGTTTTGTTCTGTAAAATCTAGGAAGATTGGTGAATGAGTAAATGCTACATATCAAATAAAGGATTGCTCTGTGAAGGATTACTCCAAAGAAATCTCAGGCAATGGATATTTCCCATGGAGATGCAACTATAAGTTGAATGGTATATTTCTGCCATAGTTTTTACCCAGATACTTTGCAGTATTGGACAGTACTGTTATAATATGATGCATATTGTAAATTAATCTGTTTTTCAGTGTCCTTACATACATGTATTTATGTAGATACGATGGCCTATTCCTAAAAAATTTTTACTTTCCACTCCAATTATTGATAGCTGAATAACCAGAAGTTAAGAAAGAAAACTATCAAACATATAGAGAATCAGTAAGAAATGTAAGACTTTACTCTGCTTGAACCTGTTCTGGCACTGTCTGTCTGGCATTACCCTCTGTTTGGTGAGAATTAAAGCAGATAAATAGGCTTGTCACAAAATATGAAGTGCTAGCAGATGTTGTTCTCTTGTTTTATGAAAACTAAGTTTCTGAGGAATATAGGAGAGCTGACTAATAGAAAATGTGTCCTTTTCACATAAAGCCAGTTGCAATTTATTTGAGAAAAAAGGGGATTTTTTTATAGCAGGAAAAATGTTAAGTGTGAAACAATTAGAACAAACTTTCCATGTGTGAAAACATAACCTTAGACTCCGAATTAGAAATACTCCTCCGAAGGGCATTTCCAAATGAAATCTATAATCTTTTTCAAATATAAAGCAAAAGGTATTTAGGACCATGATGAGAAAAAAAGTCTCCTCTTTTGACACTAAAACCAGCAGAGCAAATAGAAAACCATTTGTGATGGGCATAGCTAATGTTCTGAATTCAGTTAATCACTTGGAAGTCTACTAATCTGAGAAATATTATTAGAGGAAGAGAATTACTTGGCTTAAATTTAGGATTTCTAATTTTTTTTCTCAATGCTTCATATTTAGCTGCAAATCTCCTACCAAACCATTTGCTAATATCCCACTGCAGGACTCCTTTTGTGGAACAAAATACTACTTTGTCTTCTCTGTCTCCTGACAAGCCCTAAGGCTGTCAGTAAAGGCAAGCTCAAAAATGACAGCCTTGCCACCAGAGTCCAGATGCTCCTAGACTGAAATCTCTGAATTTCTTTATGTGGGTCATCTTTGGACCAGAGAACTCATAGTATATATATATTTCTAGTTCTAGTTCTTACTTTCAAAAGAAAGTGACTAGCACACTATGATGTATGCTGTGGGTTTAAGGAGTAGGATGTTTTCTCTGAATTCACACTCAGCCTATTTGGAGGAACAGGTTACTGCACATTAACTGAGTGATGGCAGCTGTCCTCATGTCTGCTTTCAGCCTAGATCAGCTGTAAAGAAATGTGAAGTAGTTAGCCTGCAGTCTTGAGTTACGTCAGGAATAGATTTAAGGAGGCTTTAACCACATCATTTGCGTGCCTGGCTGCATACCTATTGCATGCAACAGCTGTACACCTGCCTCATCCACCATTGAGATCCGGATGTTACTCATCCCTATATTATAATTTTCTACAGACTAAAGACACATCCACAAACAGTTGATACGACTTGTCTAAAGCGTGAAAATTTGTTCTGCCAAAATAACTTGATTGCCTATTTGAACTCTAGCTCTAGACATGCTGTGTTTGAGTATCTTCTATAGTCATCAAACAGTTGTTAGGAAAGTTCTTTTTGCACAAACTCTTTGCCCACAGATATATCTTAGCAAGTGTCTCCAAGACAGTAGACACTCTAGTTTGATCCTTCTTTTTTTCAGGCTCTGGATAAAAGTAACAGTACCTAAAAGAGCTGGAAAGGGACCAGGCTGAACAACCTCAACTCTCTCAGCCTGTCTTTGTAGCAGAAGTGGTCCCGCACTTGAGAATCCTCATGACCTACTTCAGCAGGTCCATGTCCTTCTTATTCTAGGGTCCCCAGAGTGAAAGGCAGTACTTCAGGTGGGACCTTATGAGAACAGAGCAGAGGGGCAGGATCATCTTCCTTAACCTGCTGGTCACACTTTTTTTTTGTTGCAGCCTAGGACATAGTTGTCTTTCTGGGCTGTGAGAGCACACTGCCCGATCATGTTGAGCTTTTAATCAACAAACACCACCAAGTCCCTCTTCTCAAGTCTGCTCTCAAGACATTGTCTTCTATATTCGCAATACTGCAGTATATTCCAACACCCATTTTGACCTTTCAAGGGCAGGTGGCCTCAGTGGCCCTAAAACCAGTCCCTTTTCCTCACTGCAAGTGACATCAGTGGTGTGTGATGTGATGGAGAGAATGTGAAAGATGTATGAATAACCTTATATGATTGTTTCT